CAAAAATTTTATTCTGAACTAAAAGAAACAGACAAATACGCCACCACAATGGATGCAGGTATATAGGACACTTACATACATTGCAGTTAGCAGGCTTGATCTAATTATCATACATAGAACGTTGAAACAATAGCAAAGACCTGGAACCAACCCAAATGCCCAACGATGGTAGACTGGATAGGGAAAATGTGGTACATATACACGATGGAATATTACGCAGCCATCAAAAACGATGAGTTCACGTCCTTTGTAGGGACATGGATGAACCTGGAAACCATCATTCTCAGCAAACTGACACAAGAGCAGAAAATCAAACACCATATATTCTCACTCATAGGCAGGTGTTGAACAATGAGAACATATGGACACAGGGAGGGGAGCACTACACACTGGGGTCCGTTGGGGGGAAATGGGGGAGGGGAGGGAGGGTGGGGAGGTGGGAAGAGATAGCATGGGGAGAAATGACAGATACAGGTGAGGGGACGGAAGGCAGCAAACCACACTGCCATGTGTGTAGCTATGCAACAATCTTGCATGTTCTTCACATGTACCCCAAAACCTAAAATGCAATAAATAAATTAAAAAAAAAAAAAGAAACTATTAATGGTGGTATTGACCATCTTTTCCCCTGCACATGGAAATTCTGCTAGAATTGACCATATGCTGGGGCCATAAAGTCTCAGCAAGTATCACTGGATTTTAATAAATGAATATGTTGTTTCTATTATAGTAAGTAAAAAGAACAAAAAACTGGAAAATTTCCAACTGCCTGTTAATTAAATACTATGCTTATGAATAATATATGGCTCAAAGTAGACATTACGATGCGTATTAGAAAATACTTTAAACTGATTGAAAATGAAGGTGAACTACAGTGATCTGGAATGCTGCTATAATGCTAAGATGAAATTTATAGTCTTAAATCTATGCATTGGAAAAGAAACCTTTTTTAAAGAGGTAGAAAAGGAATAGGAAATCAAACCTAAAAAGACAGAAGTAAGGAAATAATGAAGATGAATAGAAATTAGTGAATGGAAAATAATTCTATATAGAGAAAATTGACAAAGCTAAGAAAAAGTTGGTTCTTTGAAAAGATTAATGTAATTGACCACTTAGCAACACAGATTGAAAGAGGATGGGGAGGGGGAGACAGATAAATTTAAATATTAGGAATGAAAAATGACACATCTCTATGGATCCTAAATAGAAGTGTTTATGAACAGTTTTGTGGAGAATATGGGATAGGGAGAGTGGGCAGAAATTTTGAGTACTTAGGGATGGACCATTCAATATTAATAGACAGTACTTTTGTGTAGCTGTTGAATACTTGAAATGTGGCTAGTCCTAGTTGAGTTGTCCTGTAAGTGTAAAGTACCCAGCAGATTTTGTAGACTTACTATGAAAAAAATGTATTAAAATGTATTAAAATCTTGTCTTTTATGTGTTTGCCTGTTGAAATGATGGCATTTTGGATATATTGGGTTAAATATATCATTAAAATGTCACCTGTTTCCTTTTACTTTTTAAAATGTAGTCACTAGAAAACTTAAAGTACATATGTGGCTCACATTACATTTTTTATAGAGGTTGTTATATTGCCTTTAAGATAGGTAGTGTTATTATCCCTGTTTTACAGCTGAGAGAACAGGGATATATAGAGGTTGCCATACAACTGGTAAGTGGCATCCTTGGGATTTGTACTTGGCTAACTGGCTTCAGAATCTGTTCTCTTAAGCATTACACTGTTTATGTGTTTTTAAAGGATATTAAGTCATTTCACTGTCATTTTTTGCAAATATTGAAGGATTTTTTAGTAGTAGGGTGACATGCAGCATGCATCAGAGAAGGTGGAAGGTGGAGACTGAAAGACTAAAGGGTTTGTAGATTGAGAAAGGAGTTGGAGATAAATGTGTCATTCTAATCCCATCCAGTGGACTAAGTTGTCAGGCGTTGATAGCTCTGTTGATTGTATAGAGAGCTCAGCTTTTAATGATGGCTCTTTTTACGTCTTAGCTCCAGATTGTTATGTGCAACACAGTATATTGACACAATCAAGTACTTGTTCTCTGGCATCATGCTGCTCGATTGAAATCCTAGTGTTGGCACTTAAAAGTTGTGTTATCTTGTTGTGTTGCTATAAATTGTCCTTTGCATTCGTAACACCTATCTCCCTAATCATCCACTTTATCCCCATCTGATAACTCCTTTGTATGTATTTCTTAGTTTTTTGGTTTTTTTTTTTTTCACTGAACTTGGCGCTTTCTGAACTCCCCCGTATACCAGTGTTTAATTACTACTTGACCGTTTGATTTCTCTGCTCAGCTTCAGACCTTTATTTCTACCTGGTTATTGGACACTTCCTTCTGGAATTTTGTAGTCACAGCAAATTTAGCTTGACTAACATAACACTTGTGTTCCCCAAATACTTCATATTTTGCCCAGTTGTATTTTCATTCAACTGGTTTTTCAAGCAAGAACCTGTAATTTGTAACCTTTTCTTAATCAACTCTGTTCTGTCTCCCTAATACCTATTCTTTCCTTCTGTGTATTGCAATTCTCTGCTGGTTGATCTCTGCCCTTAGAAATTTGCCACTTACTCCCCATCCCCCACTGCCAGTACCTTGCTACAAAGGGTTTCTCTTCTTCCTACCAGTCCCAGCGCAAAAGTGTAGTTTGCAGATGAGTAACACAGAATGGATTTGAGAATAAACAGGTAAATACAGGCACAGTGATGGGCCAAAAAAAAATTGTTGAATGCAAGAAATAATGAATAAATGGCAAGCTGTCTTTTAAGGGGGTGCAAATGTTTCCTCAGGAAAACCTTTACTGACACCTAAGGCAAAGTCAGGTGCTGTTTCTTTGTGTACCTGTAATTCCCATTACAATTTAATCTTATTTGTCATGTGTATTTTAATCATGGCAGTCTTCTTCACTGTCATGACCATCCTGAGAAGAGGAAATATTAAAAAAAAATTATTCTTTCATGTGGTATGTGCCTACTGTATATATTTGTTTTTAAACCAAAATATTGGAATTGTGGAGACGTTGGAGCAGGAATGCACTTTGTGTACATTGGAATGAATCTTAGCAGATTATCTATGAAAATTAGCCAGTTCTTTGATGGGGAATAACTTTCCATCTTGTGTTAGGATTTTTTTTTTTTTTTTTTTTTTTTGAGATGGAGTCTCACTCTGTTGCCAGGGTGGAGTATAGTGGCACAATCTCGGCTCACTACAACCTCCACCTTCCAGGTTGAAGCGATTCCCCTGCCTCAGCCTCCTGAGTAGCTGGGACTCCAGTTGCATGACACCACTCCTGGCTATTTTTTGTATTTTAGTAGAGATGGGGTTTCACCATGTTGGCCAGGATGGTCTCCATCTCCTGACCTTGTGATCCACCTGCCTTGGCCTCCCAAAGTGCTGGGATTACAGGCGTGAGCCACTACACCCGTCTGGATCTTCTTTAATGTTAAGAGTAGGTGCAAAGTGTGCTTAGAAACTGTTGTCTGATCGTTATTATTAAGGAACAAACTCATAAAATGTAAGCATGATTGTGTTCATAAAGATACACTTTGAAAACTGCAGTTGCAGTATTTGGGGTGTGTGATGTAAAGACTACAGACCTCTTTACTTTCTAAAAGGGATGCTTTTTGGGAACTTTATTAAATATGCAGATTGAACAACATATTTTCCTTTTTCCTATATCTCACTAAAATTGGCAAAGAAAGAAAAACATAAGAGTTAAGGAATGAGAGCGGAAACAGCAGTGGAAGGAGAGGTTACTCAGATCTTGGAATGTGAATCACATATAGAAATGTCTCAACTGATACAGCAGTACTAGAAGGCTGAAATCTTAAGTTCCACGAGAGACTACAGGGAAAATAGGGAAGAAAATAATCAAAGAAATAATAAAAAATAAGACTCATAGAATTTTACTATCAATTAAATGCTCAGAACAGTTGATGAGAAAAAGAGTAAACACTGCATACCCTCTTAGAACATGATGAAATTTCAGAACCACAGATAAGATATTAAGAGCTTCTGGAGCATATCAATCTTTAATCAAAGGATCAGGAATAAAAGTTATGTTAGACCTATTATCAGTAGTGGATTCTAGAAAATTGAGGGGACAGTGCTTTCTAAATTCTGTGTGAACTTACAAGGAATGATTTACAGCAAATTAAGCAAAAAAAAAAAAAAATGTCAAGGTTTACAAAATCAAGGTATCCTATGCTACTTTTATGTAGGAATAAGGTGGTGGGAATGTGAATAGATATATGAACACATGTTTATATTTGTAAAATGACACTGAATAGACAAAACAGCTTAATAAAAATGACTCCTATGGAAAAGACAGGTTATTCCTTAAATTGGGAAGAGAAACCCTCTAACTTTACTCACTATGCAAATTGTTTAGATGAAAATGAAAAAAATATAAAAAGTTTCTTTCGAGGGCAGGTGAAACTGGACTACAGCTTTTCTCTGCAGTTTGCCATGTTTATTTCTTTATTCTTGATTTCTTCACACTCTATGTATTTTCCCTTCTTACTTGTAACTGTAGATTTTGCCTCCTGGTAGTTATGAAAGTTTAAAACCTGGGGGAGAGTGGGCTTATAAATTTTCAATGTATTTTTGTATCGTCTTTTGAGAGTAGATTGAAGTTCTAAAAAGTGAGAAAACCTTTTTTTGTGAAAATAACTTGGACACTTTTAAGAGTTTAGTACTGGTAGAGAAACATTGTTAAAAGTATCTGATTTTACTTGCAAAATTACTGTTTGCCTACGAGACAAGTCCTTATAACAGTGTCTTGTTTTTAGACTAGTTTGTTTCCATAATTCATTTAAATTCATAAAGATAACATTTTCATGGGTTGGGCAATCTGTTGGGAAAGTCATAATTTGAATTTCTTTCTCGTTTTGCAGTTTGCTTTCTATGATACATTGAAATTATTTCTTGGTATTCAAGTTAGTCTCTAAATGATCCTTTCAATGTCTTTGCTAGGTTCGATACAAGAGGCTGTTTTCCTAGCGTGGCTTGCTGCCTTTGGTAAGAACATGTCGTCCATCTTGCCATTCACGCCGCCAGTTGTGAAGAGACTGCTGGGATGGAAGAAGTCAGCTGGTGGGTCTGGAGGAGCAGGCGGAGGAGAGCAGAATGGGCAGGAAGAAAAGTGGTGTGAGAAAGCAGTGAAAAGTCTGGTGAAGAAGCTGAAGAAAACAGGACGATTAGATGAGCTTGAGAAAGCCATCACCACTCAAAACTGTAATACTAAATGTGTTACCATACCAAGGTAAGTTTTGTTAGATCCCAAGTTTGATGATCAAATTGTGTAAAGGAATCTGAAGGAAAGTTACTGAATTTGTGTTCAAGTCGCCTGTAAAAAGTGATGATTAAAATATGACTGTTTTTAACCTTGTTGTATAAATTGTTTTTATTAGCTGATTTGTTTTAGAAATCATTTTCTTGAACAGTGAGAAGGTTCAATCAAGCTTAACCAGTTACTTAGATTTATTATCTTCATTGCCTAAATTTGTATGTTATCTTCATTTCTGTGATTGAATGATAGTTGAATAAAGAGTGGAAGCTTTTTCTACCACCAACATAGTAGCAACCTATGGTTTTCTCCCCTCTTGGTCAAAACTTTCATCAGTCAGGGGTGAAAAGAGGCTGCTCAATTTTTAATGAGTTTTATATGATTTTTCTTTGAGTGGCAGTGTTACTTCCAAAAGAATAGTGAGTTAGGTGGCTTCTTAAATATTGTAAACATTAGTCAGACCTGTCTTAAAGACCTACCTCTTAGGTTAGAAGGACCTATTGCTTTAAAAGGCTGAAGTTTTCTAAGGATAAATTGAATCATACACAGATAAGTACCACTGTAATAGTATTTTTTTTTTTTTTTTTTTTTTTTTAATAAAGTGGCAGGTGTTTCTAAATACGTTTTACTACTACTTGTATGCATTACGAGTTTTGGGGGGACTGTAAGAAATGTAGAATTCTCTAAAATGATTGTTTGCAGTGTTATACCATGGACTAGCATGTAGAGTGTGAAACCATTCTACTTGGCTTTGAGCTTTAAGAAGGACTCTTTTGATGCTTGTTAGATAATAGATTCCAATAACATGAGCGCAGCCTGTCTGGTTGCAAATACTAACAGTAGAGTGTTTTTTGCTTTGTTTGGTGGACCATCCATTTCTTTCCCTTACTTGTTTTGTGTATATCTTAAAGGTTGCTTTTTTAGTTTGTTCATTTGTTTTACAAATGCTTATTGAGTGTTTGCTGTGTAGAAGGCACTGTTTCTAGACATATGGAGATACAGTGATGAACAAAACACAAAACTCCTGCCTTCCTAAGGGATAGAAATACACAGTAAACAAGTAAACAAATTAATTGTGATTTGATATGGTAATGAGTGCAAAGAAGGCAACCAAATGCAGTGATATGATAGAATAATTTGAAGAATTAAAAAGCTGCCTTGGCTTGGATTGTGTTGCTTGAGTAGAGCTTCGAGAAGCAGCAGCCAACTGAGGGAAGAGACAGTGTGAAGACACTGAGGTGGGCTTCTTGTATTAGAAGATTTAAAAGGAGCCCAGAATAGATGAGCTTGCCCAAGGCTTCTATAGGACATCCTAGGGCATGGTGAGAGTTCAGATGTTAGTCTAAATATAACAGGAAGAGAATAAGTTTATTCTGATGGATTTTAAAGAGGATTTTTGAAATTCACATTTTAACCAAGATTTTTCTGGGTGCTGGAGACAAATGAGGGCATAATGGTATGTGTGTAGTAGGGTGGATAGAAGCAGGAAAATTAGGAGTCTGAGGAATCTCAATGGACTGTGCGGTGGCTGTGCTAGCGCATAGGTTTTAGGAGTGGAACAGGATTTGCTAGTGAACTGGCTGAGAAGTCAGGCTCTATTTTTCATTGTGTAGTACCTGGCATTTCAGTTAGGTAACCATTTATCACATGCCTATTATGTGCCTGGTGTGCTCTTTCTCACTGGAGATAAGATACAATGTTTGCTTTTAAACTGCTTGCTTTCTAGTAAGGGAGATCAATTTTTTTAAAAAAGAAAAAGTTTATAAGGCATGGTAGATGTTAGAAGTATGCTCAGGGGGACCACCTGGGGAGGAGACTTGTGGAAAGTTTCCTTTTGGAGGAATACTGGTGCTTGAGTTGAGTAGGGTAAAGGAGGAATTAGAGGAGAAGCCTGTTTCATCACGGGTAGTGTAGTGGTGCAGACTGGTGAAGTGTTCCAAGCAAGTTGGTGTCCTTAGAGTATAAAGTAAGGGGTGGTAAGTGGCCGGGTAGAGGTAGTAAGGAGTCATTGCATGCTCTATGAGAGTTCACACTTAACCTGAGGGTGACTGGTGAGGTTGGGGGCCATTGAAGTGCCTTAGGGTCTGAAGGTTCAGAAGTCAGATTAATTTCAAGTGTAATGTGGGCTGCAGTGAGAAAACTCCTTGTGAGGCTGTCAAGAATGGAGGCCGGGAGACCGGTTAGTAGGTTATCACTTGATCGAAGGGAGCTATGTGATAGAGGCAAAGATTGAGCCATGTTTTTGCACAGCTTCAACAAGGCTCAAGTTCGTTGCAGTGAGGTTATCCACAGAGCAGAGCCTGAGAGGGTCTAATCTTTTAAGGAAGTACAACAGTATTAAAATTGACCGGTGCTGGTATTTAACCTGCGGAGGTCCGAGGTCACCTTCATCATGACTCTTTTATTCCCTTTTTTTCTTTCAGCCACGTTTGGGTAGAGAGCTCTCTGAGCGCTCATATACTAGAGCTGCTTCATCATTAAAAACATTTTTTTCTGCCTTTTCACCTGATTGATGATTTTAGATGTTGCAAAAATTGAGATTTGTTATTGATCATGGTCTATCAAAAATGTTGTAACTTTTTGCACACTATAGCTTGGTGTCACATATTTTATAAAGTTTGTTTTTAGTAGAACAACTAAGTTTTGTCAGATTATTAGTGATTTCTTAACTACGAAACATACTTAAACGTAAGAAATTTAGTTGGAATTCAGGGAACTCATTTATATGTAGAGTGTAAAAGATGGGGAGTGGGATGGAAAAGATCTGTTATGGATAAATCCAAACCTTAGCTTAAACAGAATTATTTAAAATGTGATACACAGTGGATTTAATGTTAAGCACATTTACTCAAAATTGCAAGTAAAATGTTAATAAAATACCTTTATGGTTTTATAAGCCAAAAAATACAATAAAATTCAACTGATGAAGAACAGGAAATAAATTACTTAATTATAAGAAATGGCAAATGTTTTCTGTTGAAATGTTTTATTTACTAAACAGTTCCTCCCCTCTACTCTCAGCCCCTTAATATTAGAGGGGGTTAAAGTTAGGGCAGAAACATAGTCCTGGCTTTGTATCACCCCCACTCCCCTCACCTTATTACTCTTGTTGCCTCTGGCAGTTTGGAACTGTAGTTACACATATGTCACTGTTGCTTCCTTCCCACTATTTTCTGTGGTGACAGAGTAATTTATAGGTAGAACTTAACTTCAATAAAAGCCACAGTGAGCTATAATAAAAAATTTCAGGAAGCTTTTTAATCTCAAACATTTTTGAGTCTGAGGAGTGAAGACAATTTGGTCATGAAGCCAGAATGGCAGTTTATATTTAGGTAAAGAATCAGACATAAGGAAAAGGCTTTCAATATATTATCCACAATAAAGCAAAATTGAAACTGCAGTGGGGATGGGGTTCTGTAAGGTTAAAAGTAAAGGACTCTGAAGTGTTAAACATTCTGTAAAGTTAAAAGTAAGGGATGGAGTTCTGTAAAGTTAAATGTGAGGACTATGGGGTCTAAAATGGCAATATTATAATACACATAAATGTATAGAAATGCAGAATTTATTTTTATATGCATAAATTAAAAGGACTTTCCTCGGGTGGTATGCTGACAATGTAAACACATTTTTGATCTTTCATCCTAAGGAAAAAATCAGAATATTGTCAAAGATTTCTGATGTGCGTTTCAGTGTTGTTTTTCCTTTTTTTCCACCAGTCCATTGGAATCTGTATTGTTTTTAATAACAGTGAATTAGAAAAAAAAAAAAAAACCCAGTCCTAACCTTTAGTTTCTTTAATAAAGAACGCCGAGCTTATTTTATACCACAATTGAACAAGGATAATGAAAGAGAAGTTCATACCACTCTTATAAACATAGATAAAAAAGTTATAAATAAAATATCAAACTAGAGTTCAATGGTTTATTAAAAACAAAATCATAAAAACATAACTAAGCATGGTTCTCACGCCTATAGTCCCAGCACTTTGGGAGGCTGAGGCAGGCAGATTGCCTGAGGTCAGGAGTTTGAGAGTAGCCTGGCAAAATCATATTTAAGAAGCACTTTACAATCATTACAGATATACAGAGGGCTTTCTAGAACATTCCTATTCATATTTACAAATTAGGAATGGGAGTTTTCTTAGCTTGATAAAGCATACTTCTAAAAATGTTAATAGTTATGAAACTTTTAGACATTAATTGACCAAATTTTTAGTAGTGACAATGGATGATCTCGAAAAGTCCTGTAGTTTTTTCCTAATTTTATATATAAAAGTATATTACTTTTATAGCCAACACAATTAAATGGTTAAATAGGACTTTGGGCAATTTAATTCTTGTCTCTTTATGACAAGACTATTCTTGTCTTTTTTCTTTAAAGTCAATTTTTCTGTTACAAAGCAATTCTATTTTTTTTAGCATTCTCTTTTGATATATGTACGTTTATGACTGTTTTTGCCTTCAAAAGTATGTTACTAGCCAGGTGTGGTGGAATACACGTGTAGTCCCAGCTGCTTAGGAGGTTGAGACAGGAGAGTCACTTGAGCCCAGAAGTTCCAGGCTGCACTGTGCAGTGATTACATCTGTGAACAGCCACTGCACTCCAGACTAGGCAACCTGTCTCTTTAAAAATAAAAAAGTTACTTAAAAACATAAAAATAGAACCTGTCTCTTAAAAAAAAAAAGTTACTTAAAAACATAAAGTAGTGTGTATGTAACTGAAAAATCAACCATGGTTATACAGGGGAAAAATCAGTCTCCCTCCCACTCCTGTTCTCTTGTCACCCAGTTTTCCTCTGTAGTGAACTTTATGTTAGTAGTGCCTCATGTATCTTTCCAGGATGTTTCTTTTTAATGCTGCCATTAACATTTGGATTTTGTTTTGCTTCTTACAAACTTTTAGACATCAGAGTAATTAGTAACTTTATGCAGACTATCTTGAAATAGAGCAGTTCCAGTTAAAAAAAAAAAACTATC